ACGTTCTAGAGCAATGTGAATGGAAATAGAACATTCTAGAACCATTTAAATGGGGAAGACCATTCTAGAACAGTACACATGGAGAAGAGCATTCTGGAATGGTGGGTGGAGGAGAACAGTGTCAAAGTTCTACACCATTCTAGAGCAATGTGAATAGCTGGTACATTTTAAATTATAGAACATTTTAAATGGGGAAAACAATTCTAGAACAGTGTAAACAGGGTACAACATTCTGGAATGGTGGGTGGAGGAGAACAGTGTTGGTTTACATCATTCTAGAACAATGTGGAAAAGGAGGAGACCATTCTAGAACAGTATGAATGGAGAAGAGCATTCTGGAATGGTGGGTGGAGGAGAACAGTGTGAAAGGTCTACGCCATTCTAAAAGGAAGAGAACATCCTAGAATGATTTGATTGGACAGAACATTCTAGAACAGTGTGAACAAGAGAAGAACGTTCTAAAATATCCCAGCGTTCACACACAGCTTCTGTACACACGCCGAACGTTTGGGTTTGTTGGAGAACGTCGGGTCAGCGTGGCCTTGCAGTGACTCGCTGAACTGCAGTGCGATTGGGAAACGGTCCTAGACGGAGAACCCCTTTGGTCTTCAGGACTGACCGCGAGGGGAGTTTCTGAGGCTGTTGCCATGTGGAACCTGACTCTGAACGCTTTAGGATTGGAGACTGGTCTTAGTGTGTTGTGCGGCCCGGTGGGGCGAAAGCCTGCATGTCACCAGGTCAAAACAAACCAGCTGAAAATAGTAACTGTTGGTGAGACGAAATCCTGTGTACGTTCCTTTATTAGTGCGCGAGTGAGTTTGTACCCAAAAATAAAAGTGACCCAAACTTGGCTTGCTTGTGTTTCTGTTTTGAGTCAATGGGAAAATGACCGACATGGAAACATAACCTCTACACATCAGTACCTCACATTTAAGATTAAGAGACCCTTATAAGTCCCACGATGGGGAAATTTCACCTCCACATTTAACCCATCCATGCAGTGAAACGCCACATATACACTAGTGAATGCACACACACTAGAGGGCAGTGAGCACAGCACCTGGGGAGCAGTTGGGGGTTAGGTGTCTTGCTCAAGGGCACTTCAGTCACACACTGTCTGCTCAGGGGGATCGAACTGGCAACCTTCTGGTCACAAAGCTGGTTCTCTGACCTCCAGCCCATGACCGCCCCCATTTACATTAAAATGAACTATTCAGTAACTACGGTGAAAATAAGTACCAAGTTATGTAAATATGAATGTGAGGTAGTGAAATTTTGACCCTATGGGCCAGTTTTTCAGGCCATGATTAAGCCTAATGAAGCATAAACTAGAACGAATTTCCAATGGTGATGTACCATTCACCTTGCAATTTAGTCCAAGCCTAGGCTTAATCCATGTCCAAGAAAACAACCCATACAGTTTACTGTGTGCCTTTGGTCAGTTACTGTGAGGAGAGTTCACTGATTGGATGCTGGGATCTCAGCTCACCTTTAGGGATGAAAGAGAATGAAAATTCCCCCTTAATGATATTATTAATCAGAACCATCATAGGTATCACATTATCATATAGATATACTAGTTTCACTCAACAACTCATTTCTTATTAATATAAAACAATCTACTATAATTCAAATCAGTATGAAATCATCACCAGCACTACCACTGATTACTGTTCAGGCTGCATGTTTTGAGAGACTGTAGCAGCAGAGCTGTTTACTTCAGACAGTAATACACAGTGTGATTCTCAGTGGATTTTATACCAGAGTGCATCATTAAAATCAATAACCGCCCCATTTTTACACTGAACCACATCCGCGTCTCAAAGCAAGAGTGCTGATCTAGGATCTCTAAACATCTTATATTCAAAAGAAAGAGTGAACTTGAACAGGCTGGACTAGTGGCTACAGATTAAAGGGCATATATGATGGACAACTACCTCGTGTTTTTATCTAAAAAAATAATAAAAAATAATAAAATAAAAGTATCTGAATGATAGAAAAGGCTGTTTCAATACAGCCCATATATAGAAAACCCCTCCAAAAACAGTTTGATCTGAACGTGTTATCACAAAAACAACCCCTTTACATATACCCGTCTACTCAACCTGCAGCGGTTTAGCCCCACCCATTCACAGGGAAGCCTATCAGAACAAAGATCATTTACATACATTAATCGTAAAGGCACAGTAATATGTAAATGGACATCAGGAAGAAAAAAAATGCTGGATACAGGCCCTTTGAAGGGGAACACCACCGATTTTGCAAAATTACTTATTCATTCATCCGTTTAGACGTAAACAAAATCATTCGGACTGGTTTGGGGTCAAATGCTCCCTTCTAGAGAAACAGAGAATGGAGTCAGAACTGTTCACCACTGTAGTACTAGGAACCAGACGTCCGTGTGTCGCCACTACACATCACCATTTTACCTGCTGTCCAAAATGACCAGTGAACTGTGTGTCTGATAAGGTTTTATATGCCACATTGATAATGGCAAAATGAATGAGGTGGAACTGAATTGGATACAGCACCAGCGTCAGCCGTGTTGAACGGCTGTAGCTACAGGCTATTAACTACAAAACCCTGTTGGCTCGTGAGCACTGATCTCAGTTGAGAGGCAGTTTTGAGAGGAAACACAGAAGTGACCCTGGAGTAACGGTTTATATTAAAAATACGTTTTAGGCCAGAACTTTATAACAAAACTATCATAAAACAATGTCTCAGATATCAAGCAACGTATTTATAACCATTTTGTATAATAACTCAACGGGATGTAGCTTTTATAGCCATTAAACACTTTGGACGTCTGGTTCCTAGTACTACAATGGTGAACAATTCTGACTCTGTAAATTTCTCTAGAATGGCGCATTTCACGCCAAACCACTCTGAATGATTTTGTTCACGTCTAAACTGCTGAATCGGTGGGGTTCCCCTTTAAGGTTAGCTGCAGATCAAGTATTCCAGTCACTGAGCTTGAGGTCCGGTTACTACAGATTTTCCTCTCTTAGGAGTTGCGTGGGTCAAAGTGAACAAGCAGTTCATCACTTAGTTAACTGCAGCTACAAACCCTGGTGCCAGATCAAGATTCAGTGATGGTGTAATTTGGACCAGAACATAGTATTAGTATAATACAGCGTATTATGCAGTAAGTAATATTTTAAATTAACAACCTTACCAGTGGTGCACAGAGCAGAATGTCCTTAGTAGAACGCTTTTTCCCCCTTTTGTGTAGCTATTAGCTGTTACACACTGATAAAAAATATTTTACAATTTGTTGTTACTACTCATTTTAAAATTCAAGGGCCTTTATTATGTAAAACTAAAATTTCTTCACTTTTTGTTTATGTAATACGCAGAAGGTGCTAAAGGTTTCAAAACATCATCCACTCCCCAGTTCATACAGTCTATATATGCAAACTATGCTGCAAAAACACAGAAGGCCACTTTAAAATGGGTTATTTTTTGTGATGTCACAAAAACAAGATGCTTTTAATTATATCTGCCTGTTCAGCCTACAGCAGCAGCACCCATTCACATTTAAGTTGCAGTAGGTAGTATTTCAACCCAGATTGCTTTTTACACAAAGCCTGATACAGGGCAGCCAATGAGACCCGAGATCATTTACATATTCCAGGCTTAAAGGCAAAGTAACCAAAACAGCCTGTTTAGTTCTAGAAGGATAAGGAGAGCCTGGAAAATGGTCAAGTAAAATGAACTGGGGCTGTTTCGGTACACAAAACCAATAAGGGCCCTACATGGTTATTCCAGATGAGCTGTACTATAATCATCACCCTTGAGGTCCAGTTACTAGACTTTCCCCACTTGACTTAGCAGTCAGGTGTGAGGACAAAGTGACCAAGCAGTTCAGTTAACGAGTAGTGATTATAAACCAGCCAGCTTTGGATTCAGTGACCAGATTTGAATCAGTTCTACACTGTACTGATTGTTCAGTGGGGTGCAAACATTCACTACTGTTATTTAGACCAAAACCAATTTGTAATACGTTATATGTATGACATGCTGTATTATGTACTACTGGTATGAATAATGCCTTACATATTTGAATATCAAAATCTGAGAAATTCCCATCCCTGGTTCACTCAATGGAAATCACGTGATGGTCAGGTTCATGGTCAGTCTGTGTTCACATGATAAAAATAATATTACTGAGTTACTAAAAGTAATAAACACATTCTGATTAAGCATATTGTGTCTGCTCATGTAGCTGTAACACCACGCATCACCTTACTTCAGGGTAAAACCTGAGCAAATAAGACAAACGTAATTAATCATGATTAATTATACTAAATATTGCGATTAATTATGATTAATTATTGTAAGTTTTGACAGCCAATTCCACTGTTTGGCAGAAAAAATCTCTTCTACTGTGGTCTAAATGATGCTACTTCTTAGCAAGCCACTTCAAGATCACTTAAAAAATATTGCTTATATACAATATAATATTTAATACACCTTGAAGTTTTCAAAAGGACAACAGGTCACTCCCGGTGAGCGAGATCCAAAGCCAAAGGCCTGAGAAGTTCAACGGGGAGAAAAGACAGCGAGCCGTAGACAGTACTCAATGAGTTTATTAATTATATGATTTTTCTGAAATAAAAACATAAAAAGTAACATCTTTCATCCTCATTTCAACTTGCATTAAATGACCACATGGTGGCACTGTATTCCCAAGTTCGACGAGTCCAACTGGAGCTGGTCTTCTGTTCTAATCATGGTGGTCTTTCTACCACATTATCAGAACACATTTAAACCCGACACCTGCACCCTCCCACCCCAAAGCCCCACCCATCCCACTCACAGACACGAAGTACAACCACTGAATGACAAGAAATGTCTATCTCTCTCCCCCCCCGACTGAACACGCTCTCACGCTGGACCGAGAGTGTCCAGAGAGGGAAAAACATAAGTCAACCGTCCAAAACCATCTGCTGCTGCTTTCACCTTCCGCTCCAATCAAATCAACACAGCAGACAAGCCACCGTCTCTCGTGTATATAAGGATAGATATAGTATAGCTAAGTTGAAATGTGTCTTCGCTCTCCCAAAACGTTCCCTCAGCGCCCCCCCCCTTTAACTTCCATCTCTCGGAGTGACGGACTGAGGAACAGAAGTCCAAAGTGAAAGTGATCCAAAAACAGCTGAGTGAGATTTAGTGTTTAGTGCTCCTAATCGTATGTCACACAGTACAAATCCATCAGCAATGCACAGTATAACGGAAAGAAATATTTGTTCTCTATGAAAAACCGAGCTTTTTTTTTTGTTTTCCTCCTGTTTGATACTTGTAGTGGATGAAGAAGTGCAGGCTACGACAAACATAACTCGCCAACTCTGACTGACGCACTGGAAAACTTCAGAAACAGGAGGCCTAAAATATAACAGTCTCAGATTCTACTGGTCATGTTTTCAGTCTGTGATCACAAACATGCCAACGCAAAATAATAATTAAAAAAAAAAATTCATACCATATTGCATGTAAATATTGTATAAAATTCTTAAAAATACAGTTAAGTACTTGTCACCACAGCCAAAAGTGCAGAGGTATAGAAATAAACAATTAAAATTATAGCAACAAAAAAAAATATATTATGAAAACGCTGACCGGCGGTGGGTCGACTGGGGCTTCTCTTAGACCTGTCAATCATCTCCACTTAAACCCCACCCCCTTCGCCTCCTTGACCCAACACTATAACCTCAAGGGTCCGGTCAAAAGTTTGAGTTCATGAACTCGGACCTGGGGGTCAACAGAGAGGACAGGAGAGTTCTCGCTCACTGACTGACTCTCAAACAGGCTTGCATACATACGACACACAACAATAAAACTACTACCGGCAGGTTCTTTTCGCCCCGAACGGCAAAAAATACAGCCTAACCGCACATACAGACACTGGACTCTCACAGGGTTAAGAGAAGGGCATCGGAGGGTATTTCACAACGCAGGAATTTCTCAGATAGCCATATAATTTAAGCCCAGAGTGAGGACTGCCAAATAGGAACATCCCTTACTTTTTCTTCTGTCAGACAAACTTGACTTTTGGCTTGTATTATTAGGCTAAATGAGACAATCCTGCTTTGTGAAAACCCACCCAGGTCTGTAGGTTAGGCCACCAGGCCTATTAAAGCTATTAGCATCAGAATGCCAAATCACCAGCCGCTGAGAATAACGCAGACTGGTGGAGGTGGGAGGTGATCGGCCTGGGAAAGAGACAATGCGAGAGAGCCAAAAGCACAGCGAACGAATTTGGGGTATATTTCAACAAAGCAGGATTTCTCAGCAGGGCTGCACAACCTATCGTTTCTCAATCACTACTGCAACGCTGGCCTTCGCAATACTGACACTGCAACATGCAAGTGAGCCTCTAACCAGCCAATGAATGTGCTGTGAGCATCCTGACCAATCACAGATGTTCTTTGGGTGCTGAAATTATTTAAAAACAAACAAAAAAACAATATTGGTCACAAAGCTGACCTAAGCTACTTTGCATCAATGCTATGCAAAAGTTTGAATAATCTAGGTCAAATGACATCCTGTGCAAATGAGTTAACACCTTCTCTACAGAGAACAGACCTAAATATGGCTTCTTTCTGCAAATTTAGTGCACAATTTATGTTTATTTGAAAATATTGCGAAAAATGAATACATAAAATGCAAGTGACAATTTTTTATTTTTATCCTCGATATGTTAAATTCAGCAAATAAAAAGTAATAGTGCATTAAAATGTGATGAAATATCTTCTCTGTAGAGGATGAGTTAACTTATTTTCCACTTAGAAACTCAACAAAAACATGTAATTTGACCAGATGTGCCTAAACGTTTGCATACGACTGTATTTCAATATACTGGAAGCCGTACTGCAATCACAACATAGCAATATAACTGCAGTAGATGGCATTTTGTTCGTATTGTGCAGCTCTTATCAGCTCCAATATTGACCTACTGCCTTAATTTCTTCCCTACATTCACAACTTCTAATCATTAGCTTCATTTGGAAATAGCTTATCTGGAACAATCTGGGAAAAATCTACTGTGAACACCCAAAATATTGCAACGTGACTTTGTCCAATATTATTAATTCCCATTTCTTAGTAATTTAAGCCCAAAGCCCTAAAAGAACGTCCAATGGAAATGTCTTTGAATTCTTCTGCTTAAGGATACATTTGACTTTCGGCTTAAATTAACTGGCTAACTGAGAAATCCTGCTCTGTGGGTGAGGGGGAAACAGTTCTCTGAACATATCAACAGTCAAAATCCCCCACTGCTCTTGAAAGGGGAACCTGGGATGCTTTTAGAGCCAAGAGACTGTTTTTCTCGCTCTCTCTCTCCGTTTCTTTACCTCTTTATATATGCATCATCCAGACATCATAACACAAAGACTTAAAAATATTATTTCCAACACTTTCCACACATTGCACTATCTATGTACAATACTTATGGGTTTCTAAAAGGCCTACTTGGCAACACAGCAATTAATACATACTGGCGAAAGTGGGAGACTCATGGATTCAGATCAAAGAGAAGGAAACACTAGTTTTTCTAGGCGTTACACATGGAGAAATGAGGGGATTTTTTTTTTGTTGTTTGTTTGTGCTTTGCTAGCATCGCTGAGGGCAACACAACACTTTAAATACTCCTCCCAAACGCAGGCAGTTGGCTGGTTGGTAAAGGCACTAAGCGCTAGCCCTAGACAACAAACGGCAAATACATTCATACCTCACACGCTTCCCTCCATCAAAAATACTTCAGAAACATCTGTACAAAAATAAAATATCAAAAAAGGTGGCTCCCCCCCCCTCGGTGTGAGTATGGCTACTTTAGAGACGTTTTAAAGGCGAATTCAGACGCTCCAATGTCAGAGGAAGAGGAAGAAGAGGTGCAGCTCAAAAAGGACAGGAGAGATCTACAGATACGCACCTGCACGCCAGCCGTTCTCAGAGTCGACCGCAGACACGCTTACAGACTAATGCGACAATGTGAACGTTTAGCAGAGAAGCATGCTGTGGTTAAGGGTGCCTTGGCAGCAAGCTTGAGTTTTGAGCTGGTGGGGTTGGGGCACACTGGGTTTGCAAAGGCAAACTTCAAAAGGCGGGGGGCCTATCCCTCCATTCCATGCTTCAGCTTTACAGAAGAAACATGTAGGACAAACCAGGACCTCTAATCCCACACACCCCCACGCCCAGACTACAGCGCGCTTCAAACGGAAAAGTGGCTTAGCTGCTTTCAGGCTTTTACAGAGCATTTCAATTTACTCTCCTCTCTATTTCTCTCTCTCTCTATCTGAGCCTCTCCTTGTTCAGTCTTGACACTTTCGTGCAACTCTGTTCCTTCTTTCTTTCACTCTCGCCTTTGCGTCCTCATTTATTTGTTGTTCCTCTCTCCAGCTGCATCTTTGAGCTAGCCCACAAGACCAAACGAGGGCAAGCCCCGCCCCTCAGAATGCCCGCTTCCTGTCACGTGGCGGTGGCTTCAAGGTAGCTCTGCAGTTTACGGACAGTGGACTCGTCCAGTGAGAACAGGTCGAAGTCAAAGGTGGTGTTGGTGACGTTGAAGTGGCCAGTTTCCTCGATGAGATTGACAATCTGTAAAAGACAGCATGTTTATAACATTATAAAAGTTATCCAGAACCAAACCTTTTGCTCTGAATCATTCATGCAGATTCATACTGGATTAAAATCACTCCACAATTATTACTGTCAGACTGTAAAACTACACACTGCAGATTCATACTGGATTAAAATCGCTCCACAATTATGACTGTCAGACTGTAAAACTACACACTGCAGATTCATACTGGATTAAAATCACTCCACGATTATTACTGTCAGACTGTAAAAACAATCCCTGTTTTACAGACAGCAATTAACGCAACATCAAATTGCCAACAGTTACCAAAGTGAACAATAATTAACAAAAGTCCTATTAAATTTAATAGTGTGTGACTGATTAGGGCTTTAGAAGACTCCTCCATTTTATGGGTCAGATGAGTCACCGGAGGACCTTATCTGCCTCCCAGGCTGTAGGTTGCTTCACTAAAGCTTATAATGAACCTTTATGGTCCTACATTCTCATAAACCTCAACTCTGCACCGCCCTTTCACGGATAATTTCAAAATCCACCACTCATAGTTCTTTATCAAGTACACACTGAGCATGATCACATGTGCTCAAACACACACCTGCTGTAGGACGCTGCGCTCTCTCAGTGCCATTAGTCTGCGATGGAGGTCAACTAACTCCTCCGTGTAGGCCTGAAACAACCAGAGAGAGAAAGAAAGAAACAAAGAGAGATATATAAATGAAAAAAGGAAATGAGACAGACAGAAATAGAAAGGAAGATTAAAATGACCAAGAATTATCAGGAATGAAACAGTGAGATAAACAGGGTTTACATCAACATTAATGTCATTAGACAAGATAAAATGTCTAACAGCATTTCTACTGTTCATCTACATTCACACAGGCAGAAAGAAACGGGAAGTTAAGTGTCAGAAGTCTAGAAGTGAGACGTGCGGCAGCTGTGTGGGCAAACCACTGCCTTTTCACGTATGTGACTCACTGCTCCATTTGCAGTAGGGCTGCACAATGTGGACAAAACATACTGCCTATATGCTGATTATATTGCTATACACTGTCATAGAGACTCAATATCTAAAAAACTGGACAGTAAATTAGGATTTCTGAAAAGCAAATTACATTCTTTTTTTAAACGTTTAAGAACTTACTCATCAACGTCTTCCCAAGTTATATGTGTTCTTGAGAAAGGTCCTAAGAAAACGTCTACATCAGATCCATGACGCGTTCTTAAACTGCAGAACTGTTGGCACCTCTTGAGTGTGTGTAGATTCTGTTCTTAGGGTTTTAATGGGTTTTAATAAGAAACTGCCTCTTAAGAACGGTTGGTGAACGAGGCCCTACAAGAAGTCTGTACTCTACGCCCCACCAAAGGACAATGAAGAGCCAGCATATTATGTTTTGGTTGCATGTCCTGATTTATTTCATCCAAAATAAGGTGACACAGAAAGACTACTGCAGCTGTCTAAGGCCTACCGCACACCAAAAGAGGGATGCAGCGCTGTGCAGCAGCTACACCACGTACGAAGCACTGTCACACATTATGTAGTGAATTTATCACATTTGGTATCTGCTAACTCAGTGTTCTTGAGCTAAAAGTCGAAAGTTATGAATAACCTACAACATGACTTGACCAGTGCATTAAAGACTTTAGACTGGCTGTCATTATCAGTGTAAATTTCAAGCTACATGTGAACTACTATTTAAATTAACACAGTAAAGGCAGTTACTCAACATATCGCTGCTGTCGGAACAAAACCTGATCTCAATTTTTGTCGTTTTTCAGTTTGGCATAATTTCAAAATGCCTGTTGTCCTTTACATTGTGTGTAAATTTCATGATGAATGGACCAAAATGACTTGAAAACCGACTTACATTAAAAGTAAAGTATGTTTTTTGCTTCTTCTGTAAAAGTTATCACTTTGGAGATACGAGGTTTTGTTCCGACAACAGCGACATGCAACGTGTAGAAAAGGCATGAAAATGCAAAATATTTAAACGTGATTTTTTCTTATCGGAACTACACACATATATACACATACTGTGTCACTTTTTTGGGGCAAAATATTTAGCAAAAGATATATAGTGGAAGAATATATATCAACTACATCAAAAACGGTCTTTTGCTCCTCACAAAACAGGCAAACTGTGACACTGTGCAGGATACTTTCCACTCTGGAAAAGCAAAAGGAGAACAAGGGATTTTCTCCACCTCATTCCAGTAGCTAAACCTTCGCAGAAGAACTCAGCTCGGATATCAGCTGAGTCTGGGCTGCTTTTGGAGATGCAGCTCCACCTTAAATGAAGCATAAAACAAACAGCCGAATGTCTTCAAAAGCACACAGGACAAACGGTGACACTGGGCTACTTTCCATTTTGGAAATGTGACAGTAGCGTGAAGAGTTTGATCACTTCATTCACAGAAGCTGAAACTGAGTTCTTCCACATTTAACTCAATATTTGTAGCCCAGTTTGAGCTGCTTTCGGAGATTCTGTTCCTTCAAACATTTGTGGAAAAGTTCTGTGTGCTGGAACACAGCTGCTCCGTCATCTTATTCGTCACCGTGCCAACAACAGAGGTGACTGCTCAGTTTTTGAAGCCAGCAAAAGTTTGCAAATACTGAACGGAGGGCGAAGAATGTTGCATTTTCACCACCTGAAAAAACACATTTTGCGTGCAAGATAGCGTCAGTTATACGTGTTCGGATTAATTTACTGTCATCCGAATAAATCACACAAATAAATTGCATTTGGTGCATAAAGGCCTTAAAAGAGAGAAAATGAGCTCAAAGGAGCAGTGCTGAAAGTCTCTGACTGGTTTTGCACAACAAGGCCGGATGTCAGTGACTGTATGTCCATGTTCAATGTTGGCTGTTGGATCTCACTGTAACTTCAGTTTAGCAAATCTATACCTGCACACATAGATGGACATCTTGCACATCTTCTATCCACATCTTCCACAATCTGGAATATGTACATATCAGTATTTTATCCCTGTGTACCCTCTCATTTATCTACCTCGGACTCACAAATTGCATATATGTGTGTACAACTGTACATACTGTACATGGTAACTTACTGTACAAAACTGTACATTTGAAACAGTGCAATAGTGGTGTATATTAATGTGTATATATGTGTATATATGTGTGTGTATATGTGTGTGTGTGTGTGTGTGTGTATATATATATATATATATATATATATATATATATATATACACACACACACACACACACACACACACACACATACATATATATATATACACACATATATACACATACTATATATATATATATATCTCCTTATATTTTTTGTGTTTAAGTTCTACAAGGGGGCTACACACCTAAGATTTTCAATCATATTCGCACCTGTGTAAATGTGATGCGACAATAAATGTGATTTGATTTGTGTGTCATACACCTGAAACATCCAGTGTGCTTTACAGCTGGCAGTGTATTTCAAATAGCTGTACAAACTCAAAACACTGTGCATCGTTTTAGTTTGAGGTACTTATTTGTCCTTCTTTCAATGTAATGCCTTAATAATGTTGAATAATGTCAAATTCAAATATCAAATATTTGACAGAGCAGTGTACATAATTTTTTTTTGTTTTTTGTTTTCCTGATCAGGTGAATATCTTGACTTGAAGCACCCAATTTTCCACATAAACTCACAGGTAAATCTGTGGTTGGTCAGCATACTGACAGCACACAATAAAAAGAAATACGTTAGAGCTTCCTGTAAAGGCCAATATTGAGACAATGATTAGCAAACATGTTGTGCAGCCCTACCATAAAGCATGCTTGAGACTCCACACAAGGTTCTGTGTTACTGGGGAGGGGCTTACAAAAGGTTAACAAGTTCAAGTTGAGCAGGGTGTGAGGTGCCAAATGAAAAAAAAGTTGATTTACCCTTCCTACCTTGTCGTAAACCTTCTTCAGGGCTTTCTCCTGCCTCAGGCAAGGGTCTGGGCTTTTCCTGCCCGGCACCTGAGGCAGAGAGGAAAAAAAAAAAGGTTCATCCTGAATTAATTCGCTCTTGTATTTCCAGCACTTCCAAGCCTGCAACATGTGTGCAGTTGTCACTGTTTGTCTTCAGATTACAGTGATCTAACCAGTAGCAGCCAGTTGTGCCACATTCCTCTGGCTCACGATCCAAAGAGCTCTTACACCATCTTGTTTACAGTGACTGTGGAATGTAATCCAGCAAGTCCTCCAGCCACCTGTCAATCATTTCTCAACTTGACATACTAACAAGGAGAACAAAGCACTTCAAATCTCTGAAAATGCTGTGAAGCCTCTCTGACTCAGGGACTCTATTGTATTAGCTGAGGTCAGACAGGTTAAAGGGGAAGTGCAACATTTAAATATTTACATGTTTACTTACACTGTGACTAATCAACGAGTGCATAACACTCAAACGGATGTGTGTCCTGAATTCAAGAGGTTTATAGACACACAAATAAAAATACGATAGACAGGTATAGATGGACCAATAGATATACGCACAGACAGGCAGACAGACAGACAGACAGATAGATACATGGATAGATAGATATGCAAAGAGACAGAGAGAGATAGAAAGAAAGGCAGACAGAGATACAGATAGTTACAGGGAGACAGACAGATATACACAGCCTGATAGATAGATAGACAGAGAGACAAATACATATATAGATAGATAGACAGACAGACAGATATGCAAAGAGACAGAGAGAGATAGAAAGAAAGGCAGACAGAGATACAGAGTTAGAGTTACAGAGAGATAGACAGATATACACAGCCTGACAGACAGATAGATAGATAGATAGATAGATAGATAGATAGACATAGACAGATAGATAGATAGATAGAGAGAGAGAGATAGATGAACAGACAGACAGATTGATACATAGAGACAGACAGAGATGATAGACAAGATATACACAGCCTAACAGACAGACAGATAGATAGATAGATAGATAGATAGATAGATAGACAGACAAACAGACAGACAGAGATACAGATAGACAAGATATACACAGCCTAATAGATAGACAGATAGATAGCTAGATAGACAGACAGAGAGACAGACAGATAGATCGATATACAGACACGCAAAGAGACAGAGAAAGACAGAAAGACAGACAGACAAAGATACAGATAGACAGACAGATATCCAGGCTGATAAATAGATAGACAGACAGACAGACAGAAATAAACAGAGCAACAAAGCAACATACAGACACAGAGACAGGTTTAGATTTCCCAGCCCAGTCGTAGTGGCCCTTAGCGTTTAAGGGGTTAAACTGGGCACTGACTGGAGGGAGTGCTAGCCAAGTGCTAGTTCACTGATTGGATTCTGGGCTCACCTTGTTATTGGAGGAGGCGTGTTTCTGGGGCGGGGGTGGGGGGTCTCGGCCGGGCCGGTGTGGGCCGTCGCTGCTGTCACTCTCACTGTCTAAACTCAGTCTAGAGAGGAAAATGGTAAAGAATACAAAGCAAAGGTCAGACGCATATCCCTGAGCAGGAGACAGCATTGTTAAGGTAGTGAGACTGTATGGACTATAGATTTAAAAAAAGAACAAAAAGGTCAGCACAGCTGATAGAAGGAAGGAACTGCCTAGTAGGGCAAATATTAACATATTTACAGCATATATTTTTTTGCCCTCTCCACTTGTGCTGAGAGAAAAAATAAAGAGCAACAGAAATAGAAAGAAGAAGAGAGAGATACTGGAGAAAACAGAAAACAGGAAAGAGAAAGAGGGGGAGGTCGAAGGAGAGGCAGAAAGAGAAAGAAAAAGAAAGAACCTAACACAGAGGAAGAGACGAGAGAGAGAGAGAGAAAAGACTAGCACATACAGCAAATACAGAGAAACGAAATAAAGAGACAAACAGAAAGGGGCATGGACCTGGAGTCACGATTGGGTGGGTTGTTTTTGACTGGGGTCTCCTCGTCTGAGCTGCTGTCATCTTCATCAGACTCCTCAGACTGCAGGTCCTCCACCATAGAGCGCAGCGGCCCTGCAGGGACACGATGACGGTCAAGATTACTCGACTGCACTCAGTTATCAATGTTATTATGCTCTACGCCCCATGTGTCAAACACAAGCCCCGCGGGGCAGATCAGGCCCGCCACACAATCCTTCACAGCCTACAAAAGTATTTTAATGTTCTATTAATATCAGCCCGTTTCACAACGTGCTGCACTACAGTCCCCAGCATGCACTGCAACGTAATGTGCTCCAACCCTCCTACCCCAACAGTCATATAACCAAACACACTGGCTGTATTTCAGCTGCAGCTCAGCAGCTCAGAAACTGAGTAAACTTGCAGTAAAGAAAAGATGCCAGGTGTATTCTAGTTCAAGCAAACAGGTAGGTTTAAAATTCTGAGCTCCTGGGGACATTTTAATTTTGAATATTTCAAGTGTCCATGTAATATTTCAAGGTCTACTACAAGTGTCTGTATTTTACTGTTGAAGTTTTTACATATTTAGAATAAACAATGGCCAGATCGGGTTACAGCACAACATTCATTAAAAATGAAATAAATTTTTTTCTCTGGCCCACAGATTTGATGATATTTTTAATATGGCCCTTTTACTGGTGGAGTTTGACAGCCTTGCTCTACGGCAAGTCAGTAGGGTTTCCATACGGCATGAAAAAAACCCTATAAGAGAGTGAGTGAGTGACTGGGGAGGGTGAAGAGAGAGAGAGAGAGAGAGAGAGAGAGAGGTAGTTCCAGAAGTAGCTTTGGTTCTGACTGAATACAATTTTCAATTCTATCACGATTCAATTCCTTTTTTGATATTTTATCTGTAAAAAGATAAAGATTTTACAGTTTTGGTTTTTTTTTGTTTTTTTTAACACACTCTTTTGCTTGTGACACCTCCCTTTAATGAAATAAGTCCAAAAAATACATCCCCTAGAATCTGCAAATTCAGGAAAAACATTGTTCACCCCCTTCCCACCCATTTTTACTCTGCACCTAGGTGCAAAATTTTATCACTGACAGCAGCATCCACATTTGATAAACTCAACCCAAAGACAAATGCAAGTCACATTAAACAGGACAGCTACAAACTAAATGTGACTTACATTCCACAAGCAGCGCAGCAGTAAATTCTAGCCATGCATGTAAACGACAGTCCTAAATCAATCTGTGGACGGTCTGTAAGGTGATGAATGGAGCCGATATCAGTGGAGTAGTGGGCAGGGTCTTACCTTGACCTTGTTTCTGCTGTGGTTCAAAATCAGAGTCTGAACTGGACTCTGAACTGGAGCTGGAGTTTGAGGGACTCGAGGGGGCGGACTGCTGTAGACGGAGAGAGAAAAAAAAGACAGAAAAAAGAGAAAGACAACAGCAAGAGGGGGAAAGAGATACGATTCAGTGCTGCTGTGCCAATTATAGGTCAGTACTGAAGAGTATTCAGTCTATACAAAAACATTCATACAATTTCCATGCAAACACAAACACTTTAAAAAGCAAAGCATCAGGAGTCCAACACTTAAATTACAGTTCTTTAGGAAACCATTTCATGCATCTTTAATCACAAACTTAGCAAATAAATAGAAACTGTGGTCTAAAAAATGCACTAAGTTTGTTCCTTATAGAGGACATTAACTGATCTTCATTTAGAAAACCAATGAAAGCTGTTAATTCAACTGAGGATTTTTTTAACTCAAAAAATTGATGATACTGGCATCAGCCAGTGCATTCCTAATTATCATTGATTATAATCTAATCATAACATCCCAAAACATCCCAGATCGAGCATCTAAAGCTCAACCAACAAAGCAAACTTCATTCTAACCTCAGACTTCGACGAAACCTCATCATCTGAATTGGACTCGTCAGATTCCGGTGGTTTCTTAGGCTCTTTGACCTCCTGGGCGTCCGGCTTGCCCTTTACCCAGCGTCCCTTGTCCTTGGAGCTCTTTTTCTCTCCGTACCCCGATGGTGCAGTGGAGGAGGAGACGCGCGGGGAGGTGCTGGGGAAACCCCCACCGCTGGAACCCTTTTGGCCTTCTGTTCCACCTTTTTTGGGCTTTTTGACGCTTGGTTTGGGCGAGTCTGCATTGGAGGGCCGCTTGCTAGCTGATTTGCTGTCTGAAGAAGCCCCACCCCCTCCTCCGGCTCCTGGCCCGCCTCCTTTAGGAGACATACCTTCCATTTTGGACTCCTTCAGTGTTAGCTTCGGCTCTTTGAAAGCAGCTTTGGGTGGAGCTTTGCTCTCCTCTTTCACTTTGATCTCCGGCTTCTTCGACGAGGATGAGGACGATGAGGCAAACGACGAAGACTCTCGGCTGCTCTTGCTGCTGCCGCCGCCGCCGCCGCCGCCGTCTCTCTCACCGTCTCCTTTGGATGAGGCTTTGCTCTCGGAGTCCTTTCGGGGCCGCTCCCGATGCTCCTTGGCGAGTTTGTGAGGTTTCGGAGCTTTAGTGCTTCCACTGTTATCTTTAGTGAGCTCCTGCATAGCAGAGAGAGAGAGAGAGAGCAGAGAGAGAGAGAGAGAGAGAGAGAGAGAGAGAGAGAGAGAGAGAGAGAGAGAGAGAGAGAGAGAGAGAGAGAGAGAGAGAGAGAGAGAGAGAGAGAGCGCATTAACGGCTTTAATTCCATCCTCCACTGGTCAACGAATCCCGCAATGCACACTGCATTTATATTAGTGTCTTCAAAAACCAAGAAGAGCCAAACATCTTGCTTTAATTCGTTAGATGTATGAACTGCAATATAAGCACCTAACAAGGAACGGCAAACCTTCAAACTTCAAAACAAAGCCAGTCTACTGATCTGAAGGAATGATAGATTAGTTCTGCAGTGGAAAGGGTCGAATGGTGGGGTTTCAGTACGAGCTGGTATTTATAAAAATAATTCTGGACTAAATCAGAAAAATAATTGACCTGGAGAGACACCAGCACTAATTTCTACACTATACACAAAGGCTTTTACCATGTAAAAGTTTCGAATCCCCTGTTAAATTAATAATTGTTATTCAATAATAACCTATACTGTATATTGAATAGCTTTTAAAATATATATGTACTAGAAACTGATGGTTTATTCATAATTTGAAGTATTTTGGTAACATCAAGTTTCACGAAAAAACTGTATTTATCTATTTATATTAATTTCATGTCACAAAATTATTGTGAATGGCTATTTGACCAGTGAGCTTTGGTCACATGTTCATCCATACAAAACTGCTTTAATATTACTAAAAACGTCTAAAGGGTACTGTAAATAATCCCCAAATTAAAGCTGACATTTCTGTACACTAACATTATAAGTATCCGATGGCCTGGAGAACAGAGGCAAGCAAGAAAAACTGCCTCCAATTACTATATGATTACTTTCAGATTGCATAGCAAGTTTAAAAGACAGTATTTTTTCAGTATCTTTAGCCAAAAAAAAGACAAAAACCTCATATGTTTACAAATGCCACACCTGTGGGAGTGATGTGTATCACTTTCACATTAAGTCAACATGATGTAATGACATTTAGAGAAGTTAAAGGCCAACAGAGATGAGATGTGCAAAGAGCATGGATCATTTTTAATGCTGGTTTTGCAGACCTTTGGGGCCTGAGAGCCTTTACTCTTCTTAGGGTCAGAAAAAGCGGACAGGGGGATGGTTGGAAGCATGGGGTAATCTGGGCTCGGCCTGGACACGACCTCCGCCCCCTCCGGCACCACAATGATCTGTTAACGGAGAGAAATAAATAAATAAATGTTAGAGACCTGCACCTTTTGTTCATAAGTGTGTATATGTGTGTGTGTATGTATGTATATATATATATATATATATATAAATACACACACACACACACAAGAAAATGTGAACTCAGATTCCATCAACTATGGTTATGCTTGCCCACGCAGTGTGACACAGTTCTGACAGCCCTCTGTCAACTGTACATGGTCGTAACCTTAACTGGCACTGACATATTTAAATAAGGCTGAATTCGCTGTCCCACTTCATCATCACAGTTCTGAGAGGACGCAGTGCCAAACACGTGATTTCCGTTCTCACTACACCATCACCTTTTAAATCTGTTTCTATCATTGTTTTCACACTCTTCCTTAAGCAATAAACAAACTCACCTCAACCATGCATAAAACCTTTTTTGCGGTATTTAGTAATGTGCCATAACTTTTGCACGGGCCACGTTTTGTGGTTTATTTTTTTTCCCGTAAGATGTCAAATTCAGCAAATTAACAGTAACTGTGCATTAACATGTTCACTGTAGAGGATGTGTTAAATTGTTTTCACTTAGAAAATAAACGAAACAAGTAATTTGATCAGGGATGAGCAAACTTGTAAGAAAGTAAGTGAGTCTATGCGACGTTAATTAACACCCTGACACGAGGCAAACGTGTGACAATTTAGACACACAGTCAGCACAGTGCTAAGCGGTTGAGTGTGACCTAAAGAAAAACTGAAGAAGTGAATTTTAGACACCAAACATGTCCTGCCTGACACACTACGTTTGATGTTTGACCTTTCTGAGCTTTCTACTCATAAACACACAATACGCTGAGTTTACAGAAAGTCAATAAAATACCCACAAACTTACAACCACAACGGCACCCCCCCCCCACACACAGTTCTTCACTCACCCCGCCAGCTTTGACCAGTTTGCGGCGGAAGTCTCGGGTCGGGTTGTTGAAGGTGAGTTTCTCGCAGCGCAGGTGATTGACAGGTGGGTTTCCCTCCAGGTTCAGGAAAAGGTCGTAGTTGAAGAGAACCTTCTTTGGCTCCTCCTGTATTGATTTATATTATGAGTTATAATGTAACTAAAATGAGCCTTAAGTTCATTCTGGAATTCAACAGAGCCGCCACACACACACACATCTAGACTGATAAAGATACTGCCCCCCCTCCCTATGTTTAGTAATATCATTAGCAAAATACTTGACTGATCCTGGACATAATTCCCATAAAACAGCTGTGTGCCTATTGCCAAGCAGTTTGTTTCTGAAATCCATAAAAATAAAATAAATAGCAGACTTCCCTTCTAGAACAAGCTTTCTGCCTGGTAAATATTTACAACAGTGTTTAAGGTTCCCTTTCGGTGTAATTTTAATAGGAGTATAACAGAACAAAACCGTCCAATCAAAACAAGTTATATCAGGTTTGTAAATAATTTTATCCTTATTAATGCTAACTTATTAACCTTTTCAACTTCTTGGGACCACCGGTGGTTCCAAAACACATTGTCATATTCGTCATAACTTTCATATTTCATAAGCTACATTCAAAAGGTGGGGGTCATATGAGAGCTGTAACTGTCTTCTTTCCAGTCAAATAGATGGGTGATGTAATTTGAATCACTTATAATAAAAGAAGCTAAACTCATAATTTTTTTTCTCTACTGAAAGTCGACCCATTTTTCCACAAATCTGGGCTGTAAACTATAAACAGATGGCGTCTCTTCAGTGATCTGCTCTGTAAAAATTATTTTTATAAAATAATACAAAGAGCGTCTAAGATTTTTGGCTTTCAGCAGTAAATTGTAAGCATATAGCAATGTGTATGATCATAAAACACACGTTCTGTTAATCTGAGGAGAACTTTTACAAAAAATACATTTATTTCATGCAGTTACCGAGTAACTTGCCTTACGATTTGGTCATGTAAATTCAAATGGAAAAACCAAAATATACCCTGGTCAATACTTGATAATTAAAGCAAGTGTTAAAAAACTCTACTAGAGCTGAAGTATCAACTTTATTAACAGTTTTTTTTCACCAATGTTATTAATGCTAACATAATAGCTTTGTTAAAAGTAATTTAAATGTACTAATGCTAACTTACTAAACCTATTAACGCAAACAAAGGTAGATTCCTGAATGTATGGGCTCATTAACTTAACGCATGGGTTTAATAACGTTATTAATGTTAACGTATTAACGGGGTAACATTTTAACATTATTAATGCATCATTTCATTAATGTTACTAATGCTTTATTAATACTAACTTAAATGTATTAATGCTAACTTATGAGATTATTGTTAGAACAGTAACTCATTAGCTTTATGCTAACTTAAATATAAGTTATCATCTGATACTGTGACATATTTGGAAAATATCAAGATATTGAGTTTTATCAATATCGCTCAGCCATACATACGAAAGATTAAGAGGTAAAGATATTCTAGTTAAGAATTTCAAAGATAAGGTCTGGAAATGTAACGTCTGGAAGGAAGGAATGAAGGAAGGAAGGCAGGGATGAATGAATGAATGAAGTCTACAGGCTGTCAAAAGCAGGTTGGGACACAGGAACTTTCTTTTCAAACCTACCGTAACTGATATCGTTACGTGGCAGATAAGGTCTGCTTGGGAAACAGCACGGCATGTACTAACAGGCCAGAGGGCTTGTTTTAGACCACCCAATGCAGTTTATCAGCCAGTGTTATCTGTCTCCACAGACATGTGCCCTCCAGCTATGCAGTGGCAGAATGAATGGATGTCTGTGTATTACATCTATATAAGCCCTCTACATTCAGATCACTGGGTGGACTTATTTCAGTACGAGAGACTGAGGTCCTAGAAGAAATAACACTGTGAAACACAGAAAAAGGCAGAACCAGATCACGTGCTCTCACCTTGTTTTTAAAGTAGACCTCGATGGGCATTAGAAATCCCGCATAGCCCGACTCCTCAACCTTATACGGTGGCTCCTTACACACTGCAATCCACAACAAAGCATAAAAATGTTTTCTTTTTAATCAAATATCATCAAATCTGTCAAGTAAGACATTTTATTTCATTATTTTATTTCATTATTCTATATTAGTCATCAGCACAGTCAAGCTTTGTTATAATAATCCGGCCCTACTCCCGTAAACCCACTGCCATGTCGGAGTTCTGATCTGCACAGCATTGACGCATCCATGCCAGGGCAGATGTCACATGCTGTCATGAGTCGTCACAGCAGATTATGTCGAGTAATATAACACTGTCATGTCATTATTAGCACTAACTGTCATGACAGAGGTTTGAGGTCACGGAGGATAACTAGAGTACACAAAAACTGCCATGTGATATCAAATATTATGGCATCCGCCATGACAATTAGTGGTGATGGCAACATGACACTGTTATATTACTGAGCAAGTCCTGTCATGAAAACATATGACATCTGCTATGACATGTTCTCAGCATGGTTATGTCAATGTTATGAGGCAGGGGTCAAAGTAAAGTGTTACCATGCCTGCCTACAAACAAAATAATTTTCAAAATAAAAAAGCCTAGTCATTTAAGTGTTGGCATGCACACAGGACAGACCACTCCCCACCCACTTTACTCTAATTGGATGCGCCAAGAAGCCAAACAGTTTTGATCACAGATAGTGGTTGCCATGAAAAATGGTCAATGAGAGATGCTCATAAGAGAGTGAGGAGCGCTACAGCTTTAAATGAGTTTTTGATGTTGTCTTAAATTCATTACACCTTTAACACAGTACAAAGGTGTGAGGTTTACACTTTAAACAAAAAGTATTTAGTGCATCTAGTATGAGAGCTAATCCATACCAGACTGTTTGGTTGATTTATTTAATGTTTTGTACACTATGATATCGAATCATATCGACAGCAGCGGATATGTACATGAAAAATAGCATCGGCCCACAGTTCCTATTCTGGTGCAGTGTACACTTCAACATTGTGTTCACAGTGCACACAGCCACACTCCAAATAATCTCCAAGATGGATCACAGTTTTGACTGGTTCAGAGTAGAAGCGCACCTCTCTTGGGCTTGGGGAAGCTGTCGTGCAGGCGGAAGATGACTTTATCCACGAAGTGCTGGATGTCGCTGTTCTCCGGCCCGCGCACGAACACCATCCAGTCGTGAGTGAAGCCCTCAGACGTGGCCTTCTTCCGCAGCTGAGCGCGGTGGCCCAGCTCCAACTTCACCTGCACCGTGCACTGAGGAGAGAGAGAAAGAAAATGAATGCTCAAACAAAGAAGTGCATACCCAAATACTCAGCCAACTGCTCAAGATGCCAAAAAGACAGGCCAACAATTCAGTGGAGCCAATTTAATGTTTTAACTGAACTAATATGTCCAAGTTTTATTCGATGGATGATGCTACACTTTGTTATGGTCCAAAATGCGAGTGTCTATACATGAGCGCTGGGTTCAAGCTCAAGGCAGGGAAGAAATTGTTGGGTTTCTAATGCTACAGACTCACCAATCTAATTAGGCATCCTCTTGTCTAAGAGGTCGTCCTCTTGTCATAGCCCTCAGCGATGTGTATATCGCAATAACGATAAAAATACCATTTATCGTGCAGCCCCTAACACAGAGCTCAGCAAACCAAATGTTGAGGAGCCATTTTGTCCTTTCAACAAAAATCCAACCACCATGGGAGCCACAACATTTTCTGTCCATTTTCCACCTTGGCTGTAAATATGTCTCAGTATATACTAATGTCCTAGTATAGGCTAGCACAGCTCAGCTATAGCCACTTTTCTCGCATCTCCAGCAGGAAACTTTTCCACAAAAGTAGAACAGTTTGTTGTAAAACATCTATCAACTTTTTACTTTTTACAAGGCTGAAGTTGCTCGTTGCAGATTAAATGCATGAGCTGGAGTGATTATAAAGGCAAGTGAGTCCATTCATCTTTTCATCAAATTATCAACGTTCATCTTAAATCTTTCTCTTTGCCTTTTCGTTAGCTACTAGCCAGGCAAGATTGTTGTCTACGTTGCTATGTGACCAGCAGTCTCCACGCCAACCTTCAGAGTCAAAAGTTGAATTAGCAGTTATAGGCTATGTTAACTCCAGCAGTTAAGACCATTTATCCCTAAACTGTGTTAGAATGATCATCAGAGCTTTATTTAACTGCAAAGGAGGATTATTTTACAGGGCAGTAGAAGAGCCGCATGTTGCAGACCCCTGCCCTTACATACAGATAAAAACCCATCCCCACAGCAGCCGTGGCCAATTTGGCAAAATTTCAACACTAACATATTTTTCACCTGATACAGCACAAAAACACCCATCTCATTAAAAAGGCACATCAAAACTTTCTTGCTGTAAAATGTGACAACTGACATTGTTGTCAACGGTCAATTTAATCATGATCATTTTTCCATATCACTCAGCCGTAAGACTGGCCAGCACTGCCAGCAGGAAAACTAAAGCCACTAATAATGGGGGAATCCGCTGGAAAGGAGCCAGAGCAGTGGAGGCAGGAAGAGGTCAGAAACGCTTGAGATAAACCTTTCCACAACCAGCAGTCTGGGCTCTGGCTCCTTTAGACCTGCTTCACTCCACGCAGAGAGAGAGAGAGAGAGAGAGAGAGAGAGAGAGAGAGAGAGAGAGAGAGAGAGAGTGAGAGAGGAGACTGAACAACAGGATTAACGGAGAGGGAGCGAGCAAGAGAGAGCCCAATCCTCTCACTGGCGTCAGACCTATCCGTTCTGTCTCTGTAATGGCCTTAAAGCCCCAGACACTCACCGCCTCACACACATGCACAGCGCCACACCAGACAAGCCCACTCAATCCCAACTACCACAGTACATTCATGCTGCTGGTAGCAGAGTATCCAGCATAAATACTATGCTACACCAGTAGATCAGAAGGGCTGAGCGATATGACTATCATAAAAAAATTAGATTATGTCTCAAAATGCTTCTCTGAGTTTTCTACTGGGGATATCTTCAGTACTTAAGGGCCCATATGCTACATTTCTGAGGTCGCCTTATAACATTTAAGTGGTTTTATGAACCAAAACTAACCACAATTCATTTTTACATGTCTATTTTCCAACCTCTTAGAATTAAACAGGCTGTTTTTGTTATTGCACCTTTAAGACTGATATGTATACGAGCTCTGTCCTGACTGGCTGCCCTGTATTGTGCCACATTCAAAAAGCTCCCAGAACTGAAACACTCCTCTTAATTTTAGTGTGAATGCTGTAGGCTGAACAGGTGGCTGTATGTAAATGCATCACAACCACAAATAATTTAAAATAGGTAATTTTAGCTTATTTTCCATATATCTACTGTATGGACTTGAGAGTGAAGTGTATGTTTTAAAACTTTAACAGTGTTTACACACTGCATCAAATTTCTTTATTTAAAAAAAGCAAGGGAAGTAGGGTTTTCGATTATTTGAGACCTTTAACCTCTTATTCTCCAGGGTATATTTTGGTTTTTCCATCTGAATTTACACAACCAAATCGGAAGGCAAATTATTCGGTAACTGCATGAAATAAATGTAATTTATTATTATTATTTATTTTTTTTGTAAAAGCTTTTTTTGTAAAAATTAACAGAACGTGTTTTATGATCACACATATTGCTATACTTACAATTTACTGCTGAAAGCCAAAAATCTTAGACGCTCTTTGTATTATTTTATAAAAATATTTTTTTACAGAGCAGATCACTGAAGAGATGCCGTCTGTTTATAGTTTATAGCCCAGATTTGTGGAAAAATGGGTCGACTTTCAGTAGAAAAAAAAAAAATGTGAGTTCAGCTTCTTTTATTATAAGTGTTTAAAATTACATTACCCATCTATTTGACTGGAAAGAAGACAGTTACAGCTCTCATATGACCCCCACCTTTTGAATGTTGCTTATGAAATATGAAAGTTATGAAGAATATGACCAAGTGCGTTTTGGAACCACCGGTGGTCTCAAGGAGTTGAAGAGGTTAAAGAACACTAAACAACTGCCTGTTTCAGAGCATAATTAGTCTTGTTTAACTGCAGTGTGTAAAACATTCATAGATAATGATATTTTTTTAAAACATGGCACTTCTAGGACTTTTCTGTCTGTTTCAACTGATCAAACCTTAGCAAAATGACATTCTGTGTATCATGAAAAAGTCTTGAAACATTGTGAGTTTTTTCCCCAAATTTTCTCCCCAATTTAGACGTATCTAATCTCACCCACTAGTCAGGACTCCCCCGAGCACGATACCACCAGCGCCAACAGGGGGAATGCAAGGCTTCCTCTGAGACCTGTGAAGCGCCACCGCATCGTTTCCACATCATCGGACACCTGAACGCGCTTAGAGGAAAGTGCCAACCGCCAGTTCTGTTACATCAGCTAACAGACACCTGCGCTGGCTAGCATGGTGCTGAGTGATGTGGGGGAGACGGGGGGGCCATTGTACCCACCCAGACAGAGCGCTCTCTTGTACTCCCAACCACAGAAAGCTGTAGCATCACCAAGGATCCGACTCACAATCTTCTGACGATAGGGCCAAAGACGGTTGCCCCTGTGATGTCATAATTTTTGTCACATCACCCAGCCCCAAAAATATCTGACAAAGTGATCTGATTGCAATCCTTATGAGTCGACTCAACGCTTCAGATCAAATACCATTTGATCTGATTCAATTATTTATGATTCAAATCAAATATCTGTCAAATAGACTGTATATAATGGGGTGAGGGTTGGTGTTGTGGCAGCGTCCACACAAAACTTTGAATATTTGTGTAATACTTCAACATAGAAAGCAGGCCTGTAAATCTGTATCCCACTTAATTATAATTTAATTATACGCAATGGGTCTAACTTCAACATACTGCATGCTGTGTGTCAATGAGAATAAAACGTCAAGCAGCACAAATCAGCCTAATGCCAGTTAGTTTTACACCACATAGTATTGCAGCAAAGCAAGTTTCTGCAATGGTTTTGTTTTTACATTTGTTGCAATTGACAAAATGGCATGTATTGTATACACCGATCAGGCATAACATTATGACCACCTCCTTGTTTCTATGCTCATTGTCCATTTTATCAGCTCCCCTTACTATATAGGTGCACTTTGTAGTTCTACAGTTACAGACTGTAGTCCATCTGTTTCTCTGATACTTTGTTAGCCCCCTTTTACCCTGTTCTTCAGTGGTCAGGGCCCCCATGGACCCTCACAGAGCAGGTGCTATTTGGGTGGTGAATCATTCTCAGGACTGCAGTAACACTGACGTGGTGGTGGTGTGTTAGTGTGTGTTGTGCTGGTCTGAGAGGATCAGACACAGCAGTGCTGCTGGGGTTTTTAAACACCTCAGTGTCACTGCTGGACTGAGAATAGTCCACCAACCAAAAATATCCAGCCAACAGCGTCCTGTGGGCAGCATCCTGTGACCACTGATGAAGGACTAGAGGACGACCAACACAAACTGTGCAGCAGCAGATGAGCTATCGTCTCTGACTTTACATCTACAAGGTGGACTGACAAGGTAGGAGTGTCTCATAGAGTGGACAGTGAGTGGACACAGTGTTTAAATGCTCCAGCAGCCCTGCTGTGTCTGATCCACTCAGACCAGCGCAACACACACTAACATACCACCACCACGTCAGTGTTACTGCGGTGCTGAGAATGATCCACCACCCAAATAGTACCTGCTCTGTGAGGGTCCATGGGGGTCCTGACCACTGAAGAACAGGGTAAAAGGGGGCTAACAAAGTATGCCGAGAAACAGATGGACTACAGTCTGTAACTGTAGAACTACAAAGTGCACCTATATAGTAAGTGGAGCTGATAAAATGGACAATGAGCATAGAAACAAGGAGGTGGTCATAATGTTATGCCTGACCGGTGGACATGCCCAGACATTTCAGTGTGGGTGTCAGTACAGTAGAGATGAAACGATATTAAAACTTCATATCACGATTATCATGACCAAAATTATCACGATTATCGGTATTATCGCGATATTGTTCAAATGTTTTGAAAAGTAAAATAAATAAAAAAATAAATACTGATACACAAACTGAAACTCGTTTCACCAACTTTTATATTAACACAAATAGAATTGGCAGCGATATGCACTTTTTGTTTGCATAAACATTAAAAAATAAGGTCAATACAATTTTAGTATTACTTTTGTATTACTTAGAATACTTGTAATACTCTATAAACAAAAGAATAGCAAATGTATTATTATTACAGTTATTATTATTATTAT